CTCTCCTGGTCTTTCTCTCCCTTATCACCTGCCACCCCACCCCCGTGGCCTCCTCTCCTTCCAGAACTTTTCCTGGGGCGTCAGGATGCTTCTCCTAAGGCCCTGCCCAGGCAGCCCTCCTCCATGTCCAGGCCCAGAACGTGCCCCAGACCTCTGGCGGTGGCCAGCCAGCCTGCCCTGTCCTTCTGCCGGCTCCCTTCCTGTGGCAGGCGGGCCCTGCCCTCCGTGCCTCCGTGTGATGCTGACGCCTTCCACACAGCACTCGTGTGCCAGCTCGGATGGGAAGCCCTCGGCCCGCCTCAGTGTTTGTTCCTCAGCCACTTTTGGGTGCTGGCCTCTCCCTACATACTTCATTATTTTCCGTTTCGCATTTTTATTTTTATCAGCACGAGCTTGCAGTACATAACGGCCGCGCTCCTGGAGGGAGCTGGTGCGTGGAAGAGACACTTCGCCCTTCCGTCACCCCTTTCCTCTGCCCTCCCTCCCCTCCCTCCATCTCTCCTACCCCTTCCCATTTGAAAAGCTCCATCCCCCTGTTCCCTGTCAGTCATCTGCTCTTTCGCCCCGTACTTTATGTATGCTTCGAGTTTCTCACGTAAGAGAAACCGTGCCGTGTGTGAGCATGCATGTCCGGTGGCTCTCGTCGATCTCTGCCGTTCTGCCGTGGTGCCGTCTTGTGGCCCGCTGCTCGGTGTCCCTGCCCCTTGCTGGGCTTCCGGTGCGGAGCCCTTTGTTTCCACCTCAGCCGCAGAGTGTGGTCTGTTTGCATAGATGGTTCCTATGTGTTTGCCAAATGAAAGGAATAAGTCAGTGGATTAATCAGCTACCTCATAATTAAAAGATGCTGACAAGAAGAGATGGTGACTTGGTGCAAATATGGATCCCAGTGCCTGTGACAGTCTCTGCCAGGCTTCTGCATGAGGAACAGGAAGTACTGTAACTTTTTCCTCTCACGGGGAAGGTCACAGCTGAAGGAAGAGCCCTATCTCACGGTGTATTATGTTCTGGGATAGCGAGAGCTACATCGTGCCTGGCAGAAACACCCTGTGCTGATGGTGCGAAGGCTTTGCAAACTCGCAGGCTCATGGTGCCCAGGTGATTCCGCTGTGGAGACGGAATGTGGCAGAAGTGGCTTTGGCCGTCGGAGCTGATGCTGTGCCAAGACCCAGCACCATGTGCTTTATCCTCACAGGTATTTGAACCAGGCCATGGGGGGAGACACAGCGGCCGGTGACCATGTGCTGAACAGGGAGAGATTTGCGGCTTTGAAACAAGCTCTGAATGTAATTGGCTTCAGCAACTTGGTGAGTCATCTTCGTGTTTCCCTGGGAAACCAGCCTAGAACCAGATTAGGAAAGTTATTCATCCCAGCGCGTCTCCCACACCCAGTGACTTCCAGGTACTGGTGGGGACTCGGGTGACTTGGCATAACAGGCCCCAGCCCCTCCTCCTGGAGCCTGCATTTTCGTGGGGCAGGAGAGGAACAGAGGCTGTGGAGGGGAGAGGTACCGGGGAGGCAAGGAGGGCCCATGGCAGGAAGGGGCGCAGCCTCCAGTATGGGGACCAGTGCCTTTCCTGAAAGGAACACAGGTGTGTGTCCAGATTGGAGCAGCAACTCCAGGGTGTGGGCTGACTGTGCCACATGTTTACATTTTAAAAATCTCATCCCAGTAGAACACACATTGGCATTTCTCCCCCCGGAATACTCTCGTTGCCTTGAACACACTTAGTTCACTGTTCTTGTCACTTTCTGAAGCAACTAGTGAAGTCCTCTTTCATGAGTGTCTTCACATAGTGTGGTGAAGACACAGTGACTGCTGCTGTCCCGTAACATCCAAAAGAGACAGACCTGGAGAAACATGACACGGTGCCTCGTCCACCTCATTCCCTGGATCAGACATCGTGGGACATCTGGCTCCTCCCCCAAATTAAAACTACGCGAAAGGGCATCATTTTGAATTTATTCAGACATCAGGGCAGCCAGGACAGCACAACTAAAGACAAAAGGAAAGAGGACTCCAGAGCCTCTTCAGAAGGTGGCGAGGACGATGGGGTGAGGGAGTCTAAAGTGAGGGAAGCGTTTTAGGGGACTCCTGGCAGGATATCTTTTACTGTAATACAAGTTTTTGTTTGTTTTTGGTACCGGGGATTGAACTCGGGTCCTTGTGCTTGTGAGGCAGGCAGCGGAACCACTGAGCCAAATCCCCGGCCCTGTAATAAATATTTTTAACTTAAGCATTTAACCATATTCTTGATCACACTGCCTGAACTGACCAACCCACTAGTCCTAGGGGACCCTGAGAAACTGTTGCCGGTTCAGCATCACTGAAAATGACTCTAATCACTGTATTAAATGTCTTCTTAAACAACAGAAGACAGTGTTTCCCTTTCTAGAGAGTCACAAACCCCTGCAGACTCACTGAGCTGCACGGAACCGCAGAAAAGCCTTCCTAGGGCTGTGCGTAAGGAGCGTCTGTGATACCGGAAATGTTCCTGACGCTGCCAGCCCTGTGTCACTCCTGGGCTCATGGGCAGAGCACATTTAATTCACTTTGGTTAACTTACATGGCTGTGTGTGGTTCATAGTTGCTGAAGTGAACAGCGCAGGTCTCGTGAGTCTGAAATGTAAAATGGCCCAGCCTTGGGAGAGACCTCCCCACACCCGCGGGTCTCTCCTTCCCTGAACCCCCTTCTGCATGTTGCGGTCTGGGTTAGGGCTGAGCACTCAGAAGCAGTTTCCTTGCCAGGGCGAGTGGCTATGAGAAGCCAGGCGTGCACAGGCGTGACTATGTTCTGTTGTGACCATTGCGGGCTTGGGTCTCCCCCAGTGTCCCGCTAATCAGGCAGCGCCTGTGTGTGAGGGTGGGAAGTGAGCCAGGACCAGGGTCAGGAATGGACCCTGAATGAAATCACTTGAACACTTGCTTTGGTCCCCTTCACTCTATTCAAAGATCAGTGTTTTTTGTTTTGTTTTATTTTGTTTTTGAGACAGGGTCTTGCTATGTAGTTCAGGCTGGATTGAAACTCACTGTGAGTCCAGGCTGGCCTTGAATTCATGTGGTCTTCCTGCCTCGGCCTCCCCAGTGTGGATGTTACAGGACTCTGCCACCATGCCTGGCTTGGAATGGGATGTGTCTTTTAGAGACTGGAATTCCAAAAGCTTTGGTCAGACAGCTTCCTGTTCTTTTGCTTTAATTATCCAAGCTATTTCTGTCCTATCCTAGACCCTACCCACTTGCACAGTTTCATCTTTGTCCTTGCTCCTGTGAAGTTTTCTTTTCTTTTCTTTTCTTTTTTTTAAATTTTTTTTTGGTACCAGGGATTGAACTCGGGAGCTTGCACTTGTGAGGCAGGTGGCAGAACCACTGAGCTAAATAAATCCCTGGCCCCTTGTTTACTTTCTTATCATTGAGTCACAATACTCAGCACCCACAGTTGTAAGGAGAGGTTTATCTTGGCTTATAATATGTAGAGGTTTCAGACCACAGTCAGCTGGCTCCAAGACAGGTGGCCTGGCGGAGGAGAAACAGCTCCTGGCATGGTGACCGGAAGCAGAGAGAGATCAAGGGGGGAGGAGGGAGACAGACCCTTCCAGGCCACGCCCCTGGCCACCTCCTCCCCCAGGCTCCGCCCTCAACATCACATTGGGTGGGAACTCAATGGAGGACTGATCCACTCTCGTGTCACACACCCATGATCCAGTCACCTCCCCAGAGCCCCACCTAGGAGCTCAGGAGACTTTGGGGGACACCTAGATAGAAACCAAAAACCCACCTTCCATGCCTGGAAGCTTCTGCCTTCTTTCCAGGAAACAGGAGCGTAGACAGAGGCAGGAAACCATTCTACTGAAATCCAGTTGCTTGGAAACAGCACTTTGAATATCCAGGATTGGTGTTCAGAGGTAGAACAAGCAAACTGCTGGCTGTGGGCACCGACAAGCACTCGTGCTGTGCTGGTAGAAGACAACAGAGATGTGAAGTGCATCCTTCCCCTCGGGCCTGTGGAGCGACCGGGACAGTGACACTGAGCCCGCTGGAGGGGTGGGTTCCCACCCATTGCATCTTGCAGGAAGGCGTTTCTGGGCTGGCAGGACCTCCAGCCAAAACACCCCGGCAGTGAGTTGTGGCCCTAGGTAGTTTGATCATCCAAAAGCTCGGCCTATCGTGGGAGGGCGAAACGTCAGGGGCCAGCTGTGCACGACAGACCAAGGTGTGGCCTCGCTGTCCATGGGGGCTACAGACCCGACCCAGTCCATCACACGGTGACACTTACCTGCCTCTGTCACTGAATGCTGTGACCCGAGCATGATACAGGTTCTGCTTGTCCATCTACCTTGCAGATACTAAATATTTAATGAAGAGCTTTGGGAATTACTACTAAGGAGGAAAAGTTGTCAGGTCACTTAAGAGGCTGAGACAGTGATATTTTATAAAGCAAGAGTGAATTAAATATGCAATTTAGGGATTCACGGACACAGTTTAGTATAATGCCATGTTCATAGAATGTTATACCTGAAGAGTGTCCACCCCAGTGCTGTTTTATAAAAGATGACAAAGTCAAGTTGGGCATGGTGGTGAATGTCGTTCATCCCTGTATTCTGGGAGGCTGAGGCAGGAGGATCACAAGTTTAAGGCCAGCCTGGGCAACTTGGCAGATTAACAAGAACCTGTATCCAAATACAGTGGACCCTCGAGTTACAACCTGGTCCGACATAAGAATAATTTGGGTTATGACCAGAATTTTAGTTTTAACTTATGACCAAAGTCTTGAGGTGTGACCCGAATACTGGCCACTTGTGCTTCCAGATGGTCTCAGATACAGATTAACCTTCACAGGGGTCTGGAAGGAACATGACAGCTTCCTCTCCCGTGTGGGGCTGAGAAATTCTGGGCCAGTGTCTCTCTAAAGACACTGAGATCTGCCTGTGTGCAGGAGAGACACTTTGAAGACTGTGCAGAGGAGCCTGAGCCTTCATTGACCAACTCAGTTACCACCAGCCCTAGGGAAAGAATTGAGTTTGTAAGTTAAGGGTCCACTGTAAGAATAAAGAAAGGACTGGAGGTGTAACTCAGTGCAAAGGCCCTGGGTTTAGTTTCTAGACACACACACACACACACACACACACACACACACACACCAAGACAAAATCACACCTTTTATGAAAACTGGAGAAAATGAGGACACCATTGCTGTGAGTGCTAATGAATCAGGTGGCTGTGACCTCGAGGGCCACCCACATAGGCATGGTACCAGCTTTTCCTCCCCAGTCCCACATCAGCAAGCTGAAAGGTTCTATCCCTGTGCTCTATGAACACCGGGTGTCACTGTTTGATATTCTGGAGGAATGGCCTCTTTTGTGATTTTTCATTCTTGCCATAAACACCCTTCCAGAAGCTGCAGCCCCATGGTTCACCTGTGCACAGTCCCGTGTCACGGCCTCTCCCTAGATTTTTCTCCATCCCCCAAGACGGCCCTGGAGTTTTTCCGTGTTCCCTGGCATCCTGATCTCCATTGCAGCAGGAGTGGTACACTGTAGTCACCACCTCTGCTTATCTCGAGGGGCGATGATCACAAGGAAGGGCCCTCTGTAGAGACCCTCCTGCCTCTGCTCTCAAGGTTGGGTCCGAGGACCGAAGTCTTACCCTCCAGGTGACTTCCACCCAGTTAGACCTCCATCTGTTTTTGTTGCAGTCAATATTTAGAAAGCATTAATTTCTGGGCATGGTGATGCCCGCCTATAATCCTAACCGTTAGGAAGCTGAGACAGGAGGATTGTTGCAAGTTCAAGGGCAGCATGGGCTACCTAATGAGTTCAAGGCCAGCCTGGACTACATAGTGAGACCCTGTCTCAGAAAACCAACAATAAGACATTAGTCTGTGTCAAAATCACTTCCTTATTCTCTTATTTTGAGCAAAGGAAACACTGATTGTGAGAAATATGCATCAATTAGGAGATGGCTGCTCGGAGACAGACATTCACGGTTCTCTCACCAACACCTGGCATCCAAGAGGCTCAGTCCCCCACGTGGTGCAGGTCTCTGCCCTGTAACCCACTTTCCAGTTTGTGCAGGACTTACCAGTCCCCCTTCCTAAGCCACCTCTCCCTTTGTCTGTGGCAGGAGGTGGAGAACCTGTTCGTGCTCCTGGCCGCCGTCCTGCACCTGGGGGACCTGCAGTTCACTTCCCTCACCGACCCTGCAGGCTCTGCCTTTGTCTCCGACCTCCAGCTGCTGGAGCAAGGTCAGGGGACAGCGCCCTGCCGCCGCCCTTGGTGTGCAGTTTGCACATGGCCAGTAGGTGGAGACACAGCCCACAAAGCCAGTGGGAGCTGGCCCTCAAGAGAACTGCGGGCAGAGCCTGGGTGGCCGGGCTTTCTTCTCCCAGGGGGTTGCGGGATGAGGAAGGAGAGAAGGCTGTCCCACCTCTATGCTGCACACCCCTGCAGCCCTCCGCACTCACTCTCCGGCTCCTGCTCGGCTCCTCTCTTCTCCTCTTCCCCACCCCACCTCGTCACTAGCTAAACATGCCTGCTGTACATTGTACCGTTTCCTCCCTTCAGAGATCTCCTCACTGCAAACCCCTCCTTTGTGCTGGTCACTCGCACGTTTGACCTCCCAAGTACAGGTTGTCATTACACACCCTGTGTGCACCCACATCAAAATGATGTAGGAAGGAATTCCGGGGGGAAACTCGGTACCATCTGTGAGGAGGACAAGGAGACAGCCCTGCTGTGAGCTGAGGCACGGGACGGGGCTGGGTGTGTGCGCACGTGTTTAGACATCTCTCCTCGGGCAGATCTGACCCTCGCAGTAGTCACGGCCCTCGAAGCTCGCACACACTCTCTTCAGAGCGCACAAAGGCCGCAGGGTAACTGCAGAGCACAACGTTCTTCGTGTGCAGAAACGGACGGCGGCCTCACATTGCACTGTCGCTTGGTTTCAGTGGCTGGGATGCTGCAGGTGTCGGCAGAGGAGCTGGCGTCCGCCCTGACGACCGATGTTCAGTATCTCAAAGGTGAGCTTTCCGCCGCCGTCACACACTTGAGACAAAGCACGTGTTCCTGTGTCCGGGAATCGGGGCCACTTAGAAAAGCATGGGAGCCACGTGTCCCTCGGGGTGGCTCTGCACCGTGAGCACCCCAGTGGCCCCAGGAGCTCCCTTGGATTAACTGGTTGCACTCTCTAGCGAATCTGTCACTTGAGAGGAAGCCATCCGTCCAGAGGCACCGTCCCGTGAAACGCGGCCCCCACACGCGTGCCCAGCTGTGCCATCCGGTCGGCGACAGCCCGGCCTCCCGCTGTCTCTGCACAGAATAACAGCTTCCTCTGTTGGGCAGGACTGGATGGGCATAGTGCCCAGGCTCTGAATGTTATAATTTCTGGTCTCTCACAAATCGTTGTGAGGTGGGCATGATGTTGCCATTTTAAGGATGAGAAAGCTGAGATTCAGAGGTGAGATAACTTTCACTGCCAAATCGCTGCTGACTGGCATGCGGGATCAGAGTGAAGGCTGCAGCGCCCCAGATGTCTGGTCCCCCCACACGCTCCCTCCTCCCTGCCCTCCCCTCCCTTCCCTTCCTTTCCCGTCTGTGTCCCTACCCCATGGGGGAGAGGACTGATTTCCCCCACACCCTTCAGTTGCTCACTGTGACTCACCCCTGTAAGAACTCAGAATCCATCTGGCCATAGCCCTTTTCTTCCTCCTCCTCCTCCTCCAATTTCTCTTCCCCCTCTTTCTCCTCTTCCTTCTTCTTCACTTGGAATAGAACCAAAGCCTTTGCATTACACTACAATCCCGTCCTTTAATTTTTTTTTTTTTTTAATTTCAAGACAGGGTCTCAGCGAGTTGCCAAGGCTGGGCTTAAACTTGTGATCTTCCTGCCTCGGCCCTCCTGCAGAGCTCTCCTTTTCTCTGTATCATCACGAATCTTGCCTGCTTCCCTGTGCACCGCCCTGCAGGTGTTCGGCTGTGTGCCTGTCACGGCTGTCCTGTCCCTGCTCTCAGAGCTGCCTTCAGGTGTTCTGGAACCGAGTGAATTTTTCCCTGTGCACTCGGTGTTCCCCAGGTTGCTCCTGACGTCTCTCCGCGTTGTCTCTCCGCGGAGAGGGCAGACACTGGCCAGCGTGATGCTCTCCATCCTCACTGCCTCCTCTGCATTTCCTGTCCTGGTTACGGCAAGGGCCTCCTGGCAAAGCTGTTGTCTGACCTTATCTCCTTCTGCCAGCCTCCCATACTACTTCAGAAATAACCTGTGAAATGCCGGTGTGATCCTTATCTGGAGGTGGCAGGCTTTCGAGGATGCCTCCTGCCCCTGGTGGGCCGTCCATTCCTGCAGGAAGGCCCTGGAGGCTGCGTTCCTATTTGGGCCACACCTGATTTATGCCCCTTGGCTGTGTCTCCCAGACCCCTTTGCATGAGCCGCATTTGCGTCTTGACTTTCCCCAAGTCCACCGTCCCCCCGCATGCCTGTCACCGTCTACAGCTCACTGTATTCGGGCCCCTGCACTTCCGCTGCCCTCGCCCTCCCGCCACGTTGGTGACGGACCTGGGCGCCTCAGACGTGTGGCCTCGGGGACAGTGATTCCACCTCCTCGTCACAGCCACCTGCTCTTGCTGCCGTCGGTGCTGTTCCCTCGGGGGCTTTGGCCTCCTGGTCTTTCCTGGGTCCATTCTCCCTTCTATCCTCTTCCAAAGCTCTCCTCTTTCAGGGTTTCAGTCACTGTGTTTTAGGAGAATGATGGAGAAGCTTCCATCTGAGGGCCCGGCCTTTTTCCCTAACTGCAGACCCACACTTTGCTTGCTAGGACCATTTCTGTGAGAAACATGTAACCGCGGCCACTTTCGCAGACGTACAGGCCTCCAGATGCCTTGGAATGCTTCAGGGAACAAACCAGTGAGCGGATGTCCAAACCTTGGTCGGGGACCCCGGGCAGGGCTGTGTCCCGGGAGGAAATGGCACAGCCTCCTTAGAAGTCCAGAGCTGTGCTCCAGGTCTCGGCAGTGTATTTCACACTCACTTCAGGGAACATTTTCCATGAGAACCCACTGCGGCCTCATTTATTACTACAATCACAGACCATTTTTAACATCCTTCCACAGACGTGGGGGGAGATAAACAGGATACACGTGGTTTTGTCGTTTCTGAACCTCTGGTCCCAACCCCTCTTCTTTGCACGATTTCAGGAGACTTAATAGCGCGACGACATACCGTACGAATGGCTGAGTTTTACCGCGACCTGTTGGCCAAGTCCCTGTACAGCCGTCTGTTTGGCTTTCTGGTGAACGCTGTGAACTGCTGCCTGCACAGTCAGGAGGAGGATGCCAGGTAGGAGCCGGCCAGGCGCCCCAGACGTGGGCTCAGCTCATCAAGCTGCTCCTGCCCCAGGCGGCCCTGAGGCTCAGCATCACGCGGGGCTGTTTCTGCTGAGGCCGTCTTCCTGGAAGGTCTGAGAGGTGGTTGTTCACAGTGTGAGCTCCCTGCCCACCCAGCACGGGGATGAACGGACCAAGCCACCACTCACATGCAGATGTGCAGTGAGTTGTCTGGGGACGAAGGTCTCCGTGGGCTTTTGTGCACCGAAGTAGAGAAGGGTCGTGAAACTTGGAGGAAGACAGTCTGAGGTATCTGGGGAGAGGCTGTCTCTCTCTCGGAACCAATGAGATGCCTCCTCATTTCCTCACTTATTTCAGGGATTATTTGGCAGAGGGTCTCTGTGGTAGTCGCACGGCTCATACCCTTAATCAGCCTTAAGCAGTCGCTTTTTCAAGCCTGCTTGATCATCTGAAAACTGCACAGCTCTGGGCATCTCGGCAGTGGCAGACGTTGTCATTGTCCTTGTCACTACCATGAGCTTGAGGCACGATTGAGAGCAGAGCCGCCTCCAGGAGTCATTCCACATACATTTGGCTCTTGAGCCCTTCTGAGAATCTCTTTGTAGACTTCTTCACCAAATTCCTGAAAAATGCAGCCTTTAGATGTTTCTTAGGAAACATTAGAGCTAACGTATCGGTGGGGATGTTCTTAAATAAACATGGGCATCCCAGAAGATCCCAAGGACAAAGGGATACGAAAGTTCTTATTAAAGTCACATGCATGAAACGCACAGCACCCAGGCAGCACGTGCAGTACAGAGCTGGTGACCGGCGGTGGGCAGATGCAGCACTGTCTGGATCCCAGCAGAAATACCCGAGTGTTCGGTGAGGTCAGGGTTCTGGACTTTGCTGTTACTGTGATCTCCTGTTATCAGTTAACTTGCAGTTTTCCTTTAAATATTATGATTACTCACAACAGACAGCAGAATGTGAAATTTACTCAATCAATTTTGTATAACATGATTAGCATCCTTGCTGAGGTTGACATTGAAAAATTAATACATAATTAATATATAACTTGGGCTGTACCTAGAAACTTTTAGAAAATTTCCATTTGACATTTAGGTCTTACCAAAGGCTAGATGGGTAATTGGAAAGATCTAGTTTCAGACTACACACACTAAGAGAAAGCAAACATAAACGGAGAAAAGCACAGTTTCCCCTTCTGATGGCTATTGCCCCGTGTTAGTATGTGTTTATGATTACCCTTCCTATTTTCATACTAAGTGGGTGTAGGAAGACAGAGATTAGTGGGCAATTAGAATTAACATATTATGAAGTTCAATTTCTATGAGATAGTATCACGTGAGTCTTAATTTCAATTTTCCCTCTCTGTTTCTTTCATGGCTCATCTGACGTCAGTTTAAGTCCCCAAATAGTGCAGTGACAACTTTTCTTTGTAGTATTTCTAACTCACCGAAATTCATGGAAAGCTTAGGTTTTGGCAGAGTTACCAGCCCTTTTCTCCCATCCAGACACCAAGTAAGCCCAACCTTGCTTAGCTTCTGAGAGCTAACGAGGTTGGATGCATTCAGGGAGGTTGGCTGTAGACACCAACCCATTTTCTAAGTCACGCAAAGCTCTCAACTTGGATAACCTTAGAATAGGTTTTTGTCGTTTACCAGTCCCCAAGTTTGAAAAGTTTTTGATTGTGTCATAAAAATTATAAATTAAAAAAATGATATCCTCCATCGGTTAAAACTGGAAAAGACATTAAAATTTATGCATAAGACAGTTTGCACACTGTTTTGTATTTGTGAGTTTTGCAAGAGAAGATAAGATTTACTCCACAAGCTATGAAGGGGAGACAGATGAGATCCACACAGGTGACTGGGCTGGTCTGGGACAGAGGAATTCACTTCCGGATCCCAGGGGCGTGGATGTGACGTTCGTGACCCTGCACTGGAGACAGCGGCACTGACGCGCTCTCCAGATCCCAGGGAGGTTTCCTTCCACCTGAACACGCCAGAATGGCTGCTTCACTGGCACAAGCAGCGCTGACACAGAGGTGGCTTTCACGGTGAGTGTGCACACTGCCCTGTCCGTGTGGCTCATCCAGAACTTGCCCTCCCGCCCACTGCACCCTAAACACTTAACAGTTACATGAGATTTTAAGTAACACCAGGTGATTTCCACAGAGAAGCGGACTCGCTTGGGGATTCAGCCCGACTTTTCCAACAGCTTTCATTCACTCCCCACCTCTGGTTGTCCGCCGACACCCAGGGACCATGTAGCAGCAAAGAAGCCTCATGTGAACCCCAAATCCACCCTGTCCGGGGGTCACTTCACAGGTAGTGAGCAGGCGCCACGGAGGCTCGGGAAGGGCCGTGCCTCACCTTCAGTCCAAAGGTGGGCTGTGTCTTCTCCCCAAAGAGCCCGTCGAGCCTCCCTCAGACCTGTCCTCGTGGCCCCCAGGGTGCCTCCCACTCTGTCACCACGTATGCACGGTCTCTGTCACTGGGGTCACAGGCTGGGCTGCCCAGCCCTTCCTCCTGTGGGGCTGAATCACTTCCTGCTGGGTTGGAGACCCCAGGCATGGTCCCACTCATCTGTCATCCCAGCTGGGAGGCTGAGGCAGGAGTACTGCTAGTCTGAGCTGGCCTGGGCTCGATTGAGTTTAAATTCAGCCTGAACTTTTTAAAAAGACGCTATCAGAAAATTAGAGTATCATCTTGAGAGCAAACCTTGTAATATATGCAGGATTCTTAATGCCTCTACCCTTCCGAGGAATGTTTCGCCTCGTTACTATGGAGACCGTCTCCCATTGGTGATTCCATTGGCTGTTTCAGGGTAATGTTCAGAATGGAATCTCATCTGGTGCACTGTGCACATCAGGAATCTGGCAGCTCAGGACACAGAGACAGGAAGGTCTCCAGTTGGAGGCCAGCCCAGGCAACTTACCAATATCTTGTCTCAAAGATAAGGTCAAGTGGCCCGGGATTTGGCTCAGTGGTTCTGCCGCCTGCCTGGCAAGCGCAAGGTCCTGAGTTCATCACTGGTACCACACACACAAAAAAAAGATCAAGAGAGCTGAGGGGTTATAGCCTAGTGGTAGAGTGCTGGACTAACCTGTACCAGGCTCTGGGTTCAATCCCAAGTACTGCAAATAGAGAAAAAAGAAAGAAAAAGAAAACAGCAACGGCTCACTCTTAAGTATTTGTTATTCTTTTACATAATAAGTTTGCAAATGCTTGAAAAGTTGGCTGAGGAGCTATCTTAAAATGTTCTTTCACCTAAAAAGTGGGCATCCGGGTAACGTTACGGTGCGTGCAGGTTGCGTGCCTCTCCGCCCTGTGGCTGTGGGAGCAGCCAGGCAAGGGGGGCCGCAGGTCTAGGGCTTATGCTTGATTTTCAGAGAACCTGGCTTCTGAGGTCCCGGGATGGACACGGTGTGCAGACAGGCATGTGAGGCCACAGACCTCCTCCTATCGCCCTGCAGGAGCCCTGTGGGGACTGCTGCTCCGGTGCTGCGGGGTGCATCGTGGCTCCCGTGGGGCACAGCGGCGAGTGGCTTCCTGACTCGCTGGTACTTGCGGCTTCCTCTTGGAGAGCAGCTGTTTGATTCATTTGCAGGAGGGTCGGCACAGCCAGGCCCTTTCCTGTAGGCCTGAGTGTCAGGCCTCCCTGCTGCATCTCCTTCTCCGGGGACCCAGGGGCACCTTGGACTCAGGCTCATGGTTGCACAGGGCCAGACCGGCACCTCCATGGGGGCCTCCTAGAGACAGGATTTCTGTGGGTGGGGAGCAGGTAGACGTTGGGGTGGGTGGCACCCAGAGAAGTAGCGGATGCCGCCTTCATTCACTGGGAGAATCACAAAACCAAGACCGCACTCTGGACAGTACTGAACTTTCTGTGAGCTGTCATCTGTGTGATTGGCAGGCCTGCAGTGCTAGTAAGGGTTTCTGGTTAGCACGCACCATTTCCTGCAGCTCCTAGAAGTGGACCTGTGCAATGCTTATATCACCAAGGTGGAACTGCCAGAATTCAGTTTTAAATTCTTTTTCCTAAATTGAATCCTGCATCAGTGTTTTTCAGGCTTGGACAGATTCAGGGTTCTAGAAACTGTGAGGGCCTTCTCCAGACATGTTCAGGCACGAGGCCTGTATTTATGTCAGCTGGTCTGTGCAGAGTTCTGAATAAAATACCTGTAGATATAAGCACATATGTGTGTACACTGTTGTGTTATGACTCAGACATCCAAGAGGTTGGTATACACATCTGGGAAATACAGCCCATAGAACATTTCTCTTTCACTGTAAGGAACAGCTTAAGAATGAGTAGATTAAAATTAGGAATAAATGATGTTTAAAACATCATTGTGAGCCAAAAGAGAGGTACTGAAGATATTAGTTTCATTGATTAACTCTTTCATTCATTCATTTTTACCTTCATGATCTGAAATCCACATTTTTAGGCAGCACAGTTTGGCGCAGTTACAATACAGTGAATAAACTGAGTTCAGATACCTGTGGAGATTTTGGTTTTGGTTTTCTCTAAGCCATCAGTTTCTTAAGGATTCTGCCGTTGCTTTCTTAAAATACTTTAGTTGGCCTAAACATGGACAGTTTGGTGGGGGGTGGGCGCTAGGGATTGAACTCCAGACCTTGTGCTTGAGAGGCAAACACAGTACCACTGAGCTAAATCCCTGGACCCTCAAACAGGGACATTTAAAGTTCCCATTAATCATGTTTGGCCCCGGGGAGCTCCCATTTACCTAGGCCTGTTCTGACACCTGCTTGCAAGGACTTGTCTTTTGTCCAGGTCACTTGAAGGTCAAAGGCGGCACACAGAAAGCCGCCAGCACATGTGTACGCGGTCACACAGTCGGGTGGTGGCTATGACAATGACACAGCGGCTGATAAGACTCTGGGTCTGTGAGTCCGTGTATGGGGAAGGAAGGGTTGTATAGAATGCAGCCTACACACCGGACTCCCCGGACACAGCTGGATCTCT